TATTTTCAGGTTCATTTGGAACTCTAGGTGTGCAAAACAGAAAGGAGCACAGAGAAGAACAGGAGGAGTAAGTTCAAAGGAGTTAAATGAGGCAGAATCCTTTTAGTAAGAGAGGTTCAAAAATGTAGTTTTTATTCAGATTACAACTCCCTCGCACAAGGTAAACCCATTAATAATAAAAGTAATTTACTTTCTTTGAACCCTTTTTTGGATGCAAATAATGTAATGAGAGTAGGAGGCCGATTACAAGGGGCCAATGTAATGTTTTCACAAAAACATCAAATAATTTTGCCTGTTAAATGCAAAAAACACTGATTATCACAAAATAGAACAGTTTGTGATATTGTGCATTTATGATCCATTAGGACTTAGTCCAGGATAAAAAAGCAAAAATCTTCATCCAAAGACTTTGGTTATTGAAGCTTGATTGGAACGATCCGCTACCCGAAAGGATAATTAAGGATTGGCAACTTTTTATTGATTCAAAGGCAATCTATCAACAATTTGAAAGTCAGTAGATATGTTTTACAGGATATTTTGTTTTTTCTGAATATACAAATTCATGGATTTTCAGATTGCATTTCAGAAACACTGCATACGGAGTAGCCATTTATTTACGCTGTAGAAGTGACAATAATTTATCTTCACATTTGCTTTGCAGGGCAAGTCCAGAGTAGCTCCACTAAAACCGCTCTGACAGTACCTCGACTGGAACTCTGCGCAGCTGTAAACTGCTAGCACAGCTTGTTGCAAAGGTGGTGAACCTTTATTGAAATTGGACATCAGCAAAATATGTTCTGTGGTGTGACTCAACCATAGTGTTAGCATGGCTTCAGAATCCCCCGCATGTACTAAAAACTTTTGTTGCTAATCGAGTGTTGCAGATCCAAGACCTAACACAGACATGCCAGTAGAATTATGTGCGTTCGTATTGTGTATAAAATTTTTATTGAAAATTGAATATTATTATATTGAATTAAGAGAAGTTATTCGTATTGCATTATTGTATAAGGCAGTAATTGTACAATTTTGTAGGTTATTATGAGTATTATCGTACGAAATTATTGAAGTACCCCTTCAATGCCGGGGGGTATGTTAAGTCATTAAGACTATTTAACTGTAAGATTACGTCATTTTTTCTCTTCTTGGCGCCTTGCATGGCGCAGATGTTCATTACAGCAACCCTGTAAACGCTTACTCAGTTTTTTTATTTTTTTTTGTTGTTGTTAGTAGTAGTAAGTCATCGCTTGAAAGATGGCACGCATTTGATTAAAGTTGTCGAATAAAATATTTAGTACAGTCCACTTCTAGTTAATTTGAAATTGTTGTATAACAACGCACGCATCGCATGAACAGGGTCTAAGTGAGGTAGGCAGGACGCAAAAACGACAGAGAGGAAAAGGTTATGTACAAAATCACGCAAAGTGCTTCTTTGCACAATAATATCACAATAATGTATAAAAGGGTACACTAACAGTAATAGGAACTACACCTGTGAATGGGCTGGCAGTGCAGCGGTAGAGGGCGGTAGTGAGCCGGACAAATCACGATCCGATGCATAAGAGGATCATTCGCAACTATGTCAAGCGTGATGGGTAAGTTTACGCACAGGAAAGCTGACATTCATCTCATGTATGGTGCTGCTAACGGGAACGACAGAGCAGCGCTACGGTTGTACCATACGAACAGGCGTATGCCGAAGCACACAATGTTCGAGAGGTTGCATCGGTTCTCTGTGTGAAAACGGGTCATTTGAAGCCACCTCTGACGCTAGGAGTGGTAGAAGAAGTGCACGACAACCTCGCATTGAAGAATCCATCTTGAACATTGTACATGAATCACCTCAGACAAGTACAAGAGCTATTGCACGTCGTCTGCAGCTGAGTAATTCCACCTTTTGGAGAGTATTGCATGAAAATGGTTTGCACCCATACCATTTGCAGAGAGTCCAAGCCTTGCAAGAGACCCTGTTCGAGTTCATTTCTGTCATTGGTTCTTGCAGCAGTGTGCGGGGCAGGCGGGTTTCCCTTCGGATGTGATATTCACGGATGAGGCAACTTTTCTCACAGGACAGCCACAACATGCACGTGTGGGCAACTCATAATCCACACGGCACACGCCCACATGCATTCCAAACCCGCTTCTCCATGAATGTGTGGGCGGGTATTGTTAACGACTACCTCATAGGCCCATACCTCTTACCTGCACGTACAAATGCCTTATGTTATCATATTTTTCTGCAAGAGGTGCTACCGGAATTGCTGCAGGATTTCCGGCTGTCGTTCGTGATCGCATGTGGTTCCAGCATGATGGTGCACCAGCCCATAACCACGTGCGCGTCCGCAATTACTTGAATGGGACATTTCCGGGCCGATGGATTGGCCTTGGTGGACCCGTTCGATGGCCACCACGTTTGCCAGATGTATACAGCTTGGATTTTTTTTATGGGGCCATCTGAAAAGCATCATTTACGAGACTCCCGTTGAGTCACTGGAGGACCTCGTTGCACGACTATCCATTGCGGCTGCAAGCGTGCGCAAAATGCCTGTCGTTTTTCAAAATGTTCGTCAATCCCTTCTGCGACATTACCAAGCATGTATTACTGCTGGTGGTTGCATTTATTTTGAATACTGTATTGCTACAAAGAAGCACTTGATTGATTTTGTACATAAACACATTTTCCTCTCGTGTCGTTTTTTTGCGTTCCTGCCTTAACCCGTCACTTTAGACCCTACACTCCTATAAAAAAATGCATGCTTTAGTACACTCCACCACCCCTCCAAGTTTGTCCTATGATCTATGAAACACCCTGTATACCAGCCTATATATCATTCATCATTTATTAGACATTATTTCAAAATTAACGTCATATTTGAGATGAAAACGTAGATCGAATTTAAAGCTAATAGATGGATTTAAATGAATCAGGAATAAGAAAATGAAATGTGAGTGAGTTCGAGGAACTATAGATGCTGCTTTGAAATAGGCACTTCAGAGCCATTTCTCTATCACTGGGCTTACTTCGTGACCATGGTCACAACAGCTGCGGCAGATGGTCGAGTCCTATTCCTCCTTTCTCAGCTTCCTTCATTTCCGTTTAACGAGTTTCGCTTCAAGAAAAGTGTACAAGTGAAGGCTGATTTGAATGAGGTGGAGGAATGAATAAATGACGTGGTGGAATGAAGTCTCAAATGAAGTAGAGAAAACATTTGCTGTACAGTGATGACGACACATGTTTCCATCTTAAAGGAGAAGAGATGAACAGATTTTGAAACGCTTATTTTCAAGTTATAACTATACCGTCACGCCCGCACTATTGGTCACGCCCAACAGACTATACCGTCACGCCCGCACTTTCTTGAAGTGCCGAACATGTAAAACTATATTTTAGAAAACGCATGTATTCTTTTCAAAGAAAGAAGAGAAATTTTAGAACTGCTACTGGGAAAACAATGAAAGTGGGATACTACCTAGAAAATTGATACAGCTCGAAGTACAGAAAACTGAAAGGAAAATTCCACTTAAGGAATACATTAAGCATTCTGTAAGCATTTTTGAAATCTAAAGATTTAAGAAAATGGCGCCCAGATTTTATTGTTAAAATTTCAACTAAATTATAGTTTGTGTTTTGTTAATAATTTAAAACGTATTTAATACGCATTGGATTCACGGCAGTTATTCTTGTCTACTGCTCCTTATTTCAAATAAATGATGAATAAAGGAACTTTTACATATTCTCTACGACAAATATTTTAGCACATTAAGAAAAAAATAACTGAGAAGGATGAAACAAAGTTGAAACCATGTAATCGAAGCAAAAGAATAACATGTTTTGTAAAGAATGAAACTGTCTATACCTAGAAATAATTTTAGGTATAGTCAAAGATCCATAAATACTATAAAAATTTAATCTTATGAATCCTTAACTAATACCAAAATATTTTTACTCTTATATACTTGTTCTAATTACCCTTTTTTAAACCAATTTTTTCTTTCAATAAATAATTTAATCTTATTTGTGAATCCTTACAAAAACAACTGTTTAGATAAGCGGTTCTCAACCTTTTGACTAACTCGTACCATCTAAACAAAAACTGAAAAACCTTAGTACCGCTACTACATTATGCAATGACTATTTTTCAGTTTCTCTATAGAAATATTAAAAAAAATATGTTGCCATTTGCGCAACATGTTGGATATTTATATTAAATTTGCACGCATAAAATATTAGATTAAAAATTGATTACCATTTTTACTATCAAAATTTAAGTTATAATAATTTAATTCTAAAATTTAGCGTGAAGTTTGGGTCTATTTTTAAAAGAGATCAATTTCTTTATGTCTGATCATATTTCACACAGTACTATAGATTAGGATCCACTTTTAATTTTGTTCTGTATTTATTCTTCAAATATAACATGGAAGAAAAATCTTTTTTCATACAAATAGGTAGTGCGAAAAGGCTATAAAAATTTAATAGCTTTATTTGAAATGCTTTTAAATTCTTTTTTTCGGTTCAGCCAAAAGTTAACAAGTGTGTTATTTTTGAAATCTTCAATTAGAGTTCGATCATAGAAAATGTCTATCAATTGCTCTTTTTTACGATATTTTTTTAATTTAGTAGTTAAAAATACTTTGCGTACCACCAATTTTTCTCTTGTGTGCCAATGGTGCAGAATCGCTGGTTTAGAGGATTTAAAGAAAGCGCCTCTTTTCTCTAATCTGAACTTTATTCTGTACATATGCTCCTATTTACATATAAATTTTTCAACCCAAACTTTTATTCTAATTAGTTTCTTGTAAACCAATTTTTGCTTCCAGTAAAATCGATATAACATCATACTCATATTTGTTATTCATGTTGACAGCACCGCTTCCTCAAGCCTTAGGCACCATGAGTCGACCCATATTAGTATCGTTTACCCCAGCCCCAAAACAATGAGAAAAACGTCCGCACGGAAATGAGCAACCGAAATTAATTAATATGCAGTGCGACTTACGTAAGTAGAACTGAGTCAGTTCTTCTTCGAGGAGGGTGAGGTGTCTAGTGGACGGGTTAGCCACAGCCGTGGTCGAGGCGGTTTCTTCAGTGGGAGAAGATGAAGTTGGTGGGAGAAACCAGTCGGTGAGCACTGCCTGTAGGTAATTCACTTCACGGTCGATCTCATGAAGTCGACACGTGAGGAGGATCAATGCCATGAAAGAAAGACCCTATAAACAAAAAGTAGAGATACACTGTTAATGAAACTCGTCTAATTTTGGAACAGCTTCTTGAATATCTTGAAGCCAATGCGTTATTTCTGTTACTTTTCAATGCGAATCATGCAACAGTCTTCGAACTTCTTAAAAGGTTTCGATATTTTTAGTCCAAAGGGGCTTTGTCCCTGAAGGACTATTGTTTTCGTTTTGCGATTTTGCGATGAATCACTATAAAGGTCCGTTTCACTTTTCAAACTGTTGCCACCAAATGTTAAGAGTCCTGCATTATATTTGAAGAAATTAAATAATGGAAAATCTGCATCAATGTATGTATATTTCTCGCATTGTCATGAAATAACGGTACATAGAGCCATCGAATTTTGAATGACGTAATCCTCCTACGAATATGGGCATGTGGAAGACCAAATTTGAAATTTGTTTTATTATCGATTTTATATTTTGTAAAACTTTAACGAATTTTTGAGCAACAAACTCGACGATTTAAAAGTGAGCCAGAGCAACACTCTACGGAGGAAAAAATACATTTTTATCTCCAATGCGCGGAACTGTGTATCGGAAATTCTAAAGATAGGCTCATTTTAAAGTTATTTTGCGACATTGCTATTGAACTGAATTTTACGGTTTAAGTGCAAAGAACGTGATATTTAATAAAGATAACACACAAACCGTTAAAAAAAAACGGCCCTTTGGACGTAATTTAAAATTTGAAACCTTTCAGTTTATTATTATTATTATTATTATTACTATTATTAATAACGATCTGCTTTTTTGTAAAATCCTTACTTTATAAATCTCTGAAATCATATATGATTTCAATCATTCCATCTGAAATCGTATATTTTATAACTTTGAGAAAGTTTAAAAAAAAAAAAAAAAAAGCTGTCAGTTAAAATAATATAATTTTGTTTTTTAATAGTTTATAAATGATATTTTATAAATTTTGAATCATTGAAAAATTACTGACGTTATGTTAATACAGTGTGTGACAGAATGATGTTTACTTTCTGTCTCAAACACAGAAGTACCTAATACAGTGCTAAGTGTTGCCATAAATTTCTTGTTATATTTCCTGTACCATTTATATTTGTTATATTCTTTAACAATACTGCATAGCGATAGCATTTGGTGGCAGTATCTTTTTATTTGAAAAGTGATTCGATATAAAAGTGAAACAGATATGAAACTGAGGATTTAGGTAGCATTTAATTGCTTAATAACGAGGGCTCATCTTCACAATGAGCTTAATTTCATTGCATTTGGCGTAATTCCAAGAATACATTTAATGATTATAAATGTAATGTGTTTTTCTCAATCACATACACATTCTAATAATAAATTTGAGAAGCTTTGGATTATCTCATAATACATTTTTTTCCCCCCATGAAAAATTTATTCAGAGCTTCTTCCATTTCCTGTTTATCAGTTCAAGACGAAATTTAATATATTGCTCTTGTCAATATAAAAGTATTAAGTATTAAAATTGGAAAGATTTGGATTATATTTTAACATAGTTTTCATTCAAAAGTGTTATAGACTTCAAGTAAAATATGATATCCGGTTGTCTATTAAAAATTCTTATAGGCTTCATGTAAAGTACCTCTTCCGGTTCTCCAGTTTTACCCAAAATCTAATTGACTAATTGCAGAAAGGTTAAGTATGGAAATGAAAATTTTTGGAAGCGCCATGTCACACATACACACGCTAATAGACATCATTCTAAAAACAGTAAAAACGTGGCCCTAATTCCTGCTTATTGCCTAATTCGTGTTAATTCACTATTAATTTTTGGACCGAAAGCATTACCTTCCTTATCTATGTATATAGGTTGACGGGAGTGCTTAAATATAAAAGTTTATATACAGGGTGTTTGTAAAGTCCCGAACCCATTTTGATGTTTACTCATAAATTAATGAAGATACAAACAAACTTAGGGCATTTATTGATGGAATAACTTATATATTTTCCTTTTCAGGTTTGAATAGCTTTACTTTTGTAAATATCGTCTGCGCGTGTGGTTAATTTCAGATAATTTCATTTTCCAGTCTAAATATCTGTACTTTTCTAAATATCGTCTGCTTATTAATTGCATTTTTCTCTCTTTTGTTTTTGGCAACGATTGCAATGTTATGTTTTTTTTTTTTATGTGTTTGTTATAGTACTTTTGCATGTGATGTTTTATTCCAGAATTAATGCCAGAATTACAACCGCAATAGCCTCTGTGGATGCCGACATGCTTGCCGGTACCTGGCGTGAAATTGAATATCGACTTGATATTCTCCGTGCGACGAAGGGGGCACACGTGGAAGTTCATTGACAATGGTCATGAAACTTTTTGAGTGTATCTAACCATTTATGTTATTAATTTTAATCTATTTTTATTATTTTATGAGTTATTAAACATCAAAATGGGTCCGGGACTTTATAAACACCCCGTATAATCATTGAGAGCTTAAACCATTCCTTCTTCCCGGTTACAGCCGAAAACATCGCGGACGAAAACGTCGCAGAGAAAACAACGCAAGGCGAAAACGTCGTGCTACAAAACATCGTGGGAGAAAACATCGCAAAGAGAAAACATCGCAGTTCTAAAACATCGTGGTACAAAAACATCATCGTCGAAAATAAACGCGAACATCTCGCGGTTCAGAAACTTCGCTGTTTGAAAACATCGTCGTCGAAAATATCGTGGTAAAAAATAAAGTATCTACAAATCATCGCATGTCGATAACATCGCAGACATGCTTTTGTCAGGCTTTAATAACTGTGAATAGATATTCCCATAATAATTTGTGAGCGCAAGATGTAAAGAAGAATAGTTTTTACTTTCTCATTTTTTTATTTTTGCTGAAAAAGTAAGAAGAAAACATAAGCATAGCAAATTAATGCAACTTATAGCTTTTCCTGAAAACTTACCAGTAAAAACTTTATAAAAAATGATTTATTAATGGTCTTTGTTAGTTAACTATGTCGGTTTAAAATTCTATTAAGTGCTATAAGTAGCATTAGTTTTCTATGCTTCTTTCTTATTTTCTCAGCAAAAATTTATTAGTTAATATAAAATATGAAAAACAAATTATATCTTGCGCTCACAAATTATTATGGAAATATCTATTTACAGTTATTAAAGTCTGAAAAAAGCATGTCTGCGATGTTATCGTCACGCGATGATTTGTAGATACTTTATTTTTTACCACGATATTTTCGACGACGATGTTTTTAAACTGCGAAGTTTTTGAACCGCTTTATTTTCGACGACGATGTTTTGTACCACGATGTTTTAGAACTGCGATATTTTCTCTTTGCGATGTTTTCTCCCACGATGTTTTGTAGCGCGACGTTTTCGCCTTGCGTTATTTTCTCTGCGACGTTTTCGTCCGCAATGTTTTTGCCGCGATGTTATCGGCGGACACCCTTCTTCCCAGGCCAGTTTTCAGTTATAGCCGATTCTTGTAAGTTTTATCTTATCATCTAAGCTGAACCTTTCGTCAGCCCTTACTAGGATGTAAATTGGGCACGTATATAAGTTTTTGATTTTATTCCAAAACGTATATACATGCTTAATTTCGTTCTAGAATTCGTTTAAAAATTTCATTCTGGAAATTTTTCACTTGAAGATAGCCAACGTTCTGGCCGACCATCTGAAGCTGATGATGACAAAATTAAAGAAATGATTAAATCAAATCATCTTATAACTCTGCGAGAGATTGAAAAAAGGCTAAATGTATCACACACAAAACAATTGAAAATCAGGTAAGATGAACTTGAACTTATTAAGAAGCTCGATATTTGAGTTCCGCGTGAGAGAAGAGTTTAGAAAGAAAATTATAATTAGATAAAATTTTCTGATAAAAAAAGTAAGGAGAAGAAAAGTATTTCCATTATTTTAACTTGCCGTAGATTATTCCATTCTGCAACGTTAAAATGAAGGGACTATGGCAGGCAAAAATAATTGAACTGTTCAGAAAGCAGGATATATTCATTATTTCATTTAGTTTGGCTTTATGAAACAGGGTCTATTCTGCTGCGATATGATTAGTACAAGTGAGACCGAATTCTGACACAAGTGAAGCTCGGGGATAGTATGTAAAGATATAGTAAATATTACATGATTTCCAGTGGCGTAGCTAGGGTGGGGCAAGAGGGGACATCTGTCCCCGGGCACAGCATCCAAGGGGCGCCAAACTGATGCTACGAAATTTTTTAATGAAATGTTTTCTATTTTTTCACACAGAAAGGGGTGCAAATTCTTCAGTTGTCCCCGGGCGCTGGAATCTCTAGTTACGCCCCTGATAATTCCATTTACTATTTTTGATGTATCTCTTAACCTGAAAGGACGAAGTCTGTTATATCCAGTAAAGAAGATTCTCGCCATTTGACTTTTTTCTCTAAAATGTTCAGGATTCTTAATTTTTAAATAATTCAGAAGTTCTTATAGATAATTAAATCCTAGAATTAGTAGTAAAAATAAAATGATAGCAAAGTGAAATTAAATTTATGGTGCTACCTCTCAGTATAAGTCTGCTTTGAAATGCATCTAATTTGATTATACTTTATAAGGTATTTCTCCCGCTTTCCTAGCGTGCCTTCGTGGTGTAGTGGTTCTGCACGCTCGGCCGGTATTCCAGAGGTCAGTGGTTGGATTCCCGGCGAAGGCGAGTGCTAATTTTTCATGTCTCCGGCCTCGAATTAACCTAATGTCTCTAATTTCGAATCGAAACTTTTTGATTGGAATCCGAATCGAGTTCGATGAGTCGTGACTGTGTGCACTACACTTGTTTACCTCTTGGGAGAAAATGCTACTCTAAAACTGACTGTTCTACCACCAAAATTCTCTCGAAAGTTTCATGATAGGGTAAGAGGGATGGAAGACTCTTGGACCCGTCTTCTCGAGATGATCTTTCTGCTTTCCTACGCTACCTTTTCCGCGCGCTTTCGTACGCTTATTGCTACCATTTAGTAAATAACACACGCTTGACTCTGAATTTTCAAG